AGGTTATCCAAGTTGCCAGATTAATATTTTTATTTTAATCACATTGTATTCTAGGCATCTAGCGCACAAATTTCTTTTTAAGTTGTCTACTAGTTTCACACAAGCAGCAACAACAACAACAATAATAATAATTTTAAAACTTAAATTATTATGATAACATTTATACCTAAAATTAAAAAAAAAATTAAAAAAATAAAATAATATATTCATGTGCTTATAAATCATTTTTACATTTTATGCTAAAACTAAACAATTAATTTACCAAATATACTTATATAAACCATTAATACTACCACATAATCAAAATAGCTAACACACTTTGTGCTATCTATCATCTGCTAATTGTCAAACACCTATGTATATCTATTTCCCTATTGAACACTACTAGATATTATGAAAAGAACTTACTAGTTTTTGTATAATGCCCATTTGTGTGTTGTATACATATTACATAGTAATAAATTAATAATTTTAATATGGTTTAAAGTAATAGTTGAACATTATATTGATAGGTGAATTTTGTGAGCCAATCTAATAAAATAATTACATGAAATTATGTTACTTTTTCTTCGTAAATTTATCTCCTAACGTTTACCTTCTTACATGGTTAGTTGATGTTTATGAATTAACAATATTCTACTTAGTAATAAAATATAATAAAGAACTACTAAGTTATTATTACATTAGAAAATAACATTAAGATATCTGGAAAAAAAAATAACATTACTTTTATAAGAATCTATAATTCTCATGCTACAAATTTGAATTTGTGTATTAGCCAGTCTTTCCATATTAGTATCTTTTATTATGACCGCTCAATGGTTTCATGATAAGTTGCTACCTAATGCCTCAATAGAATGGTATAATTATAGACCCATCGGATTGGATTAGGACAATAACGTTTGAGTTACTAGGAGATAATAACTTTCAACTTAAGGTCTCACAATTCATGAAAATAAGATGAAATTGATACGATAAACTAAATTTAGAATTGTTAATTTGTTATCAAAGTTAGAAAAATTATTACATTAAATAAATAAATAACCCACTCTTCTTTTTTATCATTTGGTGATTTTGCTATCACGACAACAACATTGATGCTGATAATATCAAAATACAGTGTGACAATCTCAACCAAGTTGATCGGACCGTTGTCTTTGTAATCACAAGATTCTAAATTTGATTTTTCATGAGAGTGATCAATTAGTCTTCTTAATTTGAACCAACTAGATATGAGCAACTTAGGTTACTTTACTCCTTTATGGTCTTTTACCAGTTAGGGTCAAAAGACAGACTTCACCCAAAGCACACATTTAGATAATGACTGTGTTTTTTTTTTTTTTTTTTTTTTTCACAAATCAAAATATCATGTACAACGAAATATGATATACTTATTATTTTTTTTATTTTTTATTTTTTTTGTATCGAATACTTAACACTAGTACTAACAATATGTCAATACTTGTTACAACTAAATATGATATAAATGATTGTATTTATTTGATACTATTAGAAAATCGCATTCATTTGATATTAAAAACAATAATAAAATAAGTGCACCACCATTGATTGCCGTGCGATCGGTGTAAATTCATCATTAAGTTTGCAAAAATATATGACACATTGTTCGAAAATACACAACAATGAAATGTGGCAATGCATCATAAAATGCACTATACCTAATGATACATTTCCGAACAATTTGTAGTGCATTTATGCAATTATGCATAATGGTGAGTGATCGCATGGCCACACAAGAAGCATTGTCCACACGGAAACCTAACTATATATATATATATATATATATATATATATATATATATATATATATATATATATATATATATATATATATATATATATATATATATATATATACACACACTAATAAGAGCCCAAGAGAGTTAGGCCTATAATGGGTAGAAAAAATGGCGGTCAAATTTTTTAATCAAATGAATGGCTCAGATTGATCAGATTTTAATTTTTCCTTAAGATTTTCTAATTTATCCTTAATGAATATGATTATCCGTTAACTTTTCCGTTAAATATTATCTTTTCCGTTAATTTCTGTTAGTTCACCGTTAACTAACTCATTGATTTCAATAAGGTCTTAGGTTCGAACCCCATCTCAATCAAAGTTGGCATAATTAGTACTCTATTTTACTCTTATTAAATTAAATAATAATTTAGTAGCTACAACAAAAAATAATACATATGCATTTCTTTAATTTAAAATTATGTGTCTACAATGTCTTTATTCAAAAAAAAATTATTCATTATCAATAAATTAAATAAGAGAAATAATTTCATTAGTTATATTGTCTTTATTTTCTCTAATATAAAAATTCTTTACATTCAAATTCATCAATTAATTATATTCGCTACATTGTCCCTACAATGTCTTTATTAAAAATAAATAAATTACTCATTATAAATAAATTAATTAAGAGAAATAATTTTATTAGTTATATTGTCTTTATTTTTTTCTAATGAAAAAATTCTTTACATTCAAATTCATCAATTGATAATATTTACCACATTGTCTATTATCTTTTTTTTTTGCACTATTTTTTAATTAAATATTAAAATTATAATACAACATAATGCTATATATTTATTTACCAAGTATTTTATTAATACCATGAAAAAATTAAAAAAATATAATTAATAAAGCCAATCATATTAACTATTTGAGTGATTTGTTGTCAAAGAGAGTATTCAAATCACACAACAAATTGAAGTGAGAACTATCTTGCAATGTCTTTGTTTGACAATCAGCATTAGCGGTTAGCGGCATTGACCAGCGAATTATATCAACGGTTGGTAAAAAGATATTTGAAAAAATTAGCTATTTAGATTAACATGTAAAAGGGATAAGGGTATACATAATAATAATAATAATAATAATAATAATAATAATAATAATAATAATAATAATAATAATAATAATAATAATAATAATAATAATAATAATAATTGTTTTAAAAAAATAAAAAATATATAATTAAGCCAATCATATTAACTACTTGGAGGATTTATTGACAAAAAGAGTATTCAAATCACACAACAAATTGAAGTAGGAAACTACCTCGCAATGTCCTTGTTTGGCAATCGGCAGTTAGCTCTTCAATATTAGTAATATTTAATATTTTATGCACTAATTTTTATTTGCTCTCCCTTATGTCTCGTATTTGGTTTCAACCATACCTATACAATTATTTTATTGACAATTATAATCAATCTTGACTATATTATCTTGCATTTGTAAACTTAGAATTACCTATTTAAATACGCAAATTCAATATTCAATTATCTATGCATGAGCAATTTCAATATAATCTTGCCTTGATATACTTTAAAGTACTTATTAAAAAAACATTAGGCATTATCTCAATCGCGCAATGCGCGTAAAAAACTAGTATATATATATATATATATATATATATATATATATATATATATATATATATATATATATATATATATATATAAGGTTCATATGCGGCAGTGGCTTTAGGTGCGGCGGTGCAGCCATATCAGCATCGTCCATTCTGCTTAATCTAACGGCATCAACTAATTTATGAAGATTTAAAGATTTAAGCGCGTCCTGGTAAGTGGGGGGTGTTATGGTAATTGTAGTGGTCATTTATATCGGTCGCTTGTTAGTATACACCAACACTGTTAACAAAAGACACCAATAGTGTTAGGAAAAAGCACCACAATGAAATGCATAAATACACAAAAAAACACACAACACACCCAAAAAATACACCATATAACTCACCACCCCAATGGTGTATTTCTGAACACAGTGTGATGCTTTTATTCATACCTAGTGGTGCGTTCTGGTGATGCGTATATAATTTGTGCATGTTTTTTTGGTGTGCATTTTCTAACATGAATGGTGTATATTTGTATAACTATTAGTGCGGAAAAAACTAGTATATATATATATATATATATATATATATATATATATATATATATATATATAAAAGGAAGGGTTCAGGTGCAGGTGATGCTTCCTGTGCGGTTGACGCACCTTAAGTACACAACTCACGCACATTACGCAATAAACAAAACACCTTACGAACACAAATCATGCACACAAATCACGCACCTTAAACACATAACAAAGCACCTTAAGAACACAAACCACACTCCTAAGGTTTTAAAAATGGTTCACTTTAAGTTTCACACAACTGACGCACTTAAGCATACAAATCACGCACCTTAAGAAGGGAAACAACGCACATTAAGAAAAAAACTCACGCACATAAGTTTCAGCAACTACTCACATTAAGCACAAACACACGCACCTTAAGCACAAAACTCACGCACCTTAAGCACAAAACTCACGCACCTTAAGCACAAAACTCACGCACCTTAAGTTTCAACACTACTTACATTAAATACAAAACTCACGCATCTTAAGCACAAAACTCACGCATCTTAAGCACAAAACTCACGCATCTTAAGCACAAAACTCACACACCTTAAGCACAAGACTCACGCACCTTATATACATAACTCACGCACCTTACCTACCACACAACCGCACGGGAAACACACAACCGCACCTGAACCTATTTATATATATATATATATATATATATATATATATATATATATATATATATATATATATATATATATATATATATATAATGAGATCCTGTATCCATCAGCCATTTCGTCAGCAAGAGGCAAGAGGTAGCTTGGTAATTGGTATGAGGATGAACACAATAATCCAACGATCCAGATTTTGGTCCCAAACGCATCTTCCCCGTTGAGTTCCCACAAGGCTTTTCCATCTGGGCGGCTGGGCCTTGTCCCACTCTTGTCCCCTAACTGTTAAAGCACTTGCCTCAATCCTGCTGCTTATTCTGCCGACAACTTAGCTTGACTTTGTCACAATTTTATGCAACTTTTTTATATTATTATTATTATTAAACCCCTCTTCTCTTCTATTCATCCCCTCTAATCCTTTATATATCTATCACCATTCCCACCTTCCATCATACTCATCATATTTTCTTCAATAACCAGAAACACCAACAATTCATCTTTCAAGTTCAAGTTCATCACAAGAGCTTTTTGGAGTTTGTGGCTTTTGGGTTTTACCTGAATTCAAGAATCATTTTGTTGGGGAAAATGGAAGTTTGTGTTGCACATGAAGATGGTCTCAATCTCAAGGCTACTGAGCTTAGACTGGGTTTGCCTGGAACAGAAGAAATGGTATCAAGTGCCAAGAACAACAATAACAACAAGAGGGCCTTACCAGAGCCAGCTGAAGAAGATTGTGAATCCAAATCTGAGTCTGATGCCAGATCTTCACCTGTTTCCAAGTAAGTCACATGGGCATCAATTCTTCATGTTTCTGGTTGAATCAAGCCATCCAAAATGTGGGGATTAACTCACTGTAATTTTGCAGGGCACAGATAGTTGGGTGGCCACCTGTGAGATCTTACAGGAAAAACACTGTCCAGCCAAAGAAAGCTGCAGAGACAGGTGATGGTGGAATGTATGTCAAAGTGAGCATGGATGGAGCTCCTTATCTCAGAAAAATTGACCTCAAAATGTACAAATGCTACCCAGAACTCCTAGGAGCTTTGGAGAACATGTTCAAACTCACCATAGGTGACTACTCTGAGAGAGAAGGCTACAAAGGATCAGAATATGCCCCTGCTTATGAAGATAAAGATGGTGACTTGATGCTTGTTGGAGACGTTCCTTGGGAGTAAGTTCTCTCCTCTTTCTCTAATCCCTCCAAACCCAAAACTTCTACCCTTAATTGTCTTCTAATTTGCTTCTGTTATGCCTGCTGCAGAATGTTCTTGTCATCATGCAAAAGGCTAAGAATAATGAAAGGACAAGAAGCAAGAGGCTTGGGTTGTGGAGTTTGAGAAAAATGAAAATCCATATCCCAAACTCAGCAAAACTATCAATCTGTCAGGACAGGAGTGGAAAAAAGAAGGTTATCTCTCTCTCTGCAGGGAAGAAGAGAGAATTTGGAAATCTGGGTTCTCATCCATATCAGAAGAACCTCGGCCTAGTTGTTTCAAACATCCTTTTGTATCATCAAAAACAGTTTTCTATTGGACTTCCATTCAGAAGTGCAAACAGCAGAAACCTTAATTAGTCATATAATGCTTTCTTTTATTTGTTTCATGTATAAGTATTAGCAGGAGAACCATGGTGGTTTCAACATCCTGTCATGTTCTTGTTATTGATTTTGGAATAATCCCATCAGTTACATATATATAATATATATACACACACAGAGTATTCACTTTTGAAGAAATTGTAAAAAGAAACACATACATAGTATCAATTTGTTCATTGGGAATTTTGTTTTTTTTTTTCTCAATTATGCCTTGTACAAACTGTCTCAATCTGAATACATGTTTGAATGGGACTTTTTTCTCAAATATGATTTGGAAAATCCTAAACAGCAATATCATACTCACTTAAAAATCAGATCTTTAAGATAATACTCACAGATATGCCTTCTGGTTCTGCAGCCAAATTTAGACATAGATATCCCCATCCAGAAGATTAAATCTGATGAGAGTAAACAAACAATCATTCTAATACAATATGAAAGGAAGATCAGAGCACATCTGTGCAAGATTGTATCCATACCAAAAAAGTATCATGTTTGCAGAGCATTACTAGGGGTTGGGAAGGGTTCAAACAACATCCATAGCATTTGTTAACAGAAGCAAACATACATTTTTTCTGATGCTACATTCATTAGAAACATCTATACTCGTAATTGTAGCTGTAGAAGTTTTGGGTTGAATTTCACTCCCAAATCCCCTTTGATCAAAGTTTACTCCAACCCACCACCCCTACTCCCAAAAAAAATGTTAAACCCGCAACTCAATTGGTAATCAGGTGGTAGATTATGGACGGGGACACATGATCACGACCTGATAACTGCAATATAGGAGTTACACCCAAGTGTCGGCAGAGCCACCGTGATTTACCACCCCACCATCTTGTCAGACCGAGGTGTGAAGTCCTTGGGGTGAGGAAACTTCGCCGTTTGTGAGCGTTAATTGAGAGAATTACATGTTTACTTTAATTCTCTAACTTTTGATTCCCTATTCTCTATCTTTTTGTTTTTAAAAAAAAAAAGAATTTGAAGAGACGTATAAGTAAATGTATTCTCTATTTTCTTTTCTGTTCTTCGAGAAAATTGAAGAATTTCTACAATAATAAACAGACTAGGTCTTCTAGTGACTTAGATTTGATTTTCCTCCGGACCAAGTTTCTGACTAGTAAAATACATTCACCAGCACATGCCACATGATTATGGTCAAAGTCAGAATCAGGAAACAGAAGCAAGCCCCTGTTTTGAACCTCCATGAATTGGTCAAAAGTTTCACCATTAATGAACATGCTATTCCTGCACAATTGCCTTGCCCTACTAAACACACAAATAATATAATTGAGACACAGACTTCCACTCCTAATGATTCATGTGGTTGGCTCTTAATATACCATTATTTTGATCCCTTTAGCTATTATTTGACCTTTAAAAAAAAAAAAAAAAAGCATCCAAAGTTCTCCTAACCAAACTGTAACCTAATGGATCGACAACAGGCATTATTGAATAACTACACCTTTCTCAAGAATCTTTTGAGCGATGAAACAAATATTTCTTGTGCTTGCAAACATTGTACTTCATTCATTTTTCCAAAAAATAAAAGTTTTGGTTATTAAGAAAATTTTCCTGGAGCCCTGTGCTTTATAAAATGACCAAAGTTTACTTAAAAGGCTAAAAAGTTAACCGATTTTATAATATTAAGGGATTTTTTTTTACATAAAGTATCTAGTATCTCTTAGACTAATCTGGATTCGGTTCATGTCAGAATTGCAAAGTCTAATTCTTACTCAAGAAAAGGCTAACCCAAAGCCCCTTTAACATGACACACTTTTATAAAAGTGGACCCTCAAATCTTGCAGTTGCATTAGCAGTTCGCTTACCAACTATCTCAAAATGCTAGGTTATATTAAAAGAATCTTAAGGTATCGATTATCACTAATGTTTTATTACACTAAATACAACCAAGAGTTGATAGTACCAAGTACAATCCAAAAAGTATACATAATTGTATCAGATATAAAAGATACTAATTAACATTGTTAAATTTCTTATAACCAACAAGTTGTGGTTTAAGTGAAAAGAGCTTGTGTTTCTCAAGCATAGTCTAAGGTTTGATAGTTTTGAATTAGATGAAACTTAATATAGCTACTAATTATAGTGCGTTTGTAACTAGATTAAAGAAAGCGCTACATTTTAAAATATAAGTCTCCACTCCCCAGTTCAAAGTAATAACCTGACATGCAATGAACTTACACACGCAATTTCACAAACACATGGCGGGGATGAGAATTACGAAGCAATAACGTAATGGTCAGAGCTGGGCAAAGATGAGACAGGATGCGACGAATAATCTATTTAAGAATTGGAGTTTTAACCTTACTCATGATGATGCAATGCACTGAACTGCTTTTAGAAAATGGAGATCTCTCATGTGCAGACCAATTCGTTGGAGTCAGAACGCTTCCAGGAGCAAGATTTAGCATGATTTCTTGGGTCGATGAACTCCTCAGTCTGCACACTGCAAAGCCTTTGGAATATTTAGGAGCCTGCCTGCCTGGATGCATGTAATCTAATCTCTCTATTGTTAGCAATTCTGTCAGATAATGGTTGATGGGTTGGGATAGGATATGTTTTTTCTTGAGCAAAGAGTTAATGCAGTTGGTATCCAAGGCAGATTTGAGCATTTAGTTAGAACAGTGAGAAAGATGAAGAGAAACTCAGGAAGATCATGGACTGGTTAGGCCAAAATGGCATAGTTCCCACAGAAGCAGAATCAATGTTGAAATCGCTAGGCGCCTGGGCCCGCCTAGAACGCCTAGGCGGGCGCCTATGGCGCCTAGGAGGCCGACCGCTTAGTGCCTAGGCGCCGATTAGGCGCGATTTTTGCAACACTGAACAGAACCAAAAGATCAGACTAAAGCTACTAATTGTTGGACTTAGCCCGACCTCCACCCAACAATAATAGAACATGATTTTTCGCCCTATATTGTACCCGATCATGTATCGAGTGGCAACTAACTGAAAGGCTACTCATGCGACTCGAATTTACACCCTCTAGTAACTTTTGGAACGGGAAACTAGAGGCTAGGATTAGTCTGGCGTAAGTGAAAGAAAAAAGAAAAAAAAAAACAAAAAAAAAAAAAAACAAAAAAAAAAAAACAAAAAAGAGGAAGCTAACAAACATTATTTTGAAAATTTGTTTTGATTTCTGTTTCTAGCACTGCTGTGAAAGCCAACAAAATGTTCTAATTTTCCTCAAATCAAAATCACAACTATGAAAGATGACATCCAGCTTGCTATCTATTTGAGATAAATTGTACATTGAACACCAGAGACCCAATAATCAACTTATCAGTACCTAAACTTGATAATTTAAAACTCACTATGGTACAAAAATCCATCAAGGAAATCAAAGAATCGGGTGACTAGTCGCGTGTTTTTCCTTTTGACGAGAATAAGTCTATTCTCAGCCTCTGAGTCCAATGATGTCCTATAGCAGGGATTAGCAGCACCAGCTCTACAATCCAGTATTTGAAGCTGGAAAAATGCGTGTATCTGTCACTTGAACAGTCTGCATCGCGCTTACTAGTTTCAGAAAGCTAAGCTCCATTCTGATGTAGCCTTGTGCTGGGCTTCTTCCAAACGCTTAACAGCTACCCAGATGATCTTTCTTCATTCTCGGGAAGAGGCGTTCTCTGGTTCTCTGTAGGTATCTTTTCATTTTCATTATCGGGATCATTTTGAGCACTTGTTTGGGAGTGGTCGATATCAGGGTTAGTAACCAGTACTAATGAATGTCCCGAAGTTGCTGGAGCCTCGCTTTGGCTTGATTGCTTATCCTCCTTTACACTAGGACTTGTAGAGGCCACATACGATATGCCAAATCTTTGCCCGTGAGTAAGCCCCTGACACAGTCCCTATCAATGAAACAGTAAGATCCATATGATGAGTCCTAATTTGGGAAAGATAACATATTTTCTTTTTGCCAGACCACGAGGTGTCCTGAGCAGGTCCTAACTGTAGGAGACACCTTTAAGCCCATACCATACTCAGACTAATCCCCGTTCGCACCGGGCCGACCCAATTAAGGGGCAAAGTGCTGGCCGGATTGGTTTTTCCATACGAGAGGGGGTTTAAACTCTCGACCTCTCTTAAGGGACAAGAGTCCACGGCCACTCACGCCAACCAAGCTAGTTGGGAAGATAACATATTGATAAATAAATCTTTATGCAACGAGTTTCTGACCTTAATCAAGCCAGACATGGGCGGGGATTTTTGATAACTGGGGTGTGACAAGAAACTGGAAGCGGTGGAAACCGTGGAATGGGGATAGGATCCACTAGAATTGATTTCTGCAATGTGTGAGGCATGAATTGTCGGTTCAAGATCACTGGTCCTACAGTACGCTCCAAGATATGAACAATGCTCATGTACTAGAGATATTTGAGGACTCGCAGGCAACAAGTGGCCTTCAGTGCTGAAGATGTACCTTGAAAAGCAAAAGAAATTCCCCCAAAATACCATTAGTAAAGACAGAAGAGTGAGGGTAGAAGATAATAAAAGGATTTTCTAATAAATACAAGGGCACTATATATAAGAGTTTACTTGTATGGGCCATTTTCAACTAGGTTATCTGGACCGGCAGCCAAATCAAAAAGCAGCCACAAATATTTGACCTGCAAAGTTTATAGAGATTTAGAAACATAAGAGGATGGTGAAATAATGAAATCATTCATTGCCATAACCCAGCCCATTTTTCCCTTTCTTTTCATATTCTTTTTAGAGTATACTCCATGAGGTCTTGGTCTCAAAAGTGCAAGTCCAAAGATAAATAGAGACTTTTTACAAATTCCTTCTTTAAACAACCTTGTAAGGCAAAACAAAATCACTAATGTTTAAAGTCTGGTTAAATATGATATGAATTTCTTACAGTCTCTGCCAAGAAGAAACTCTCCATGTGATCTTCTTGTTTGTGAAACTCAACATCAGATATATGACAATATCCACAAGTGCATCGTGCACCATATTGCAAGCTCGCTAGCATGTCCCTTCCAGCATCAAGATATCTACATCGAGGGGTTAGATAAAGGTTTCAGATTGGAAGAATATCAAGATTCTCTAACCATGAAAGTTGAGACATCTTTTAAGAGGAGCTGAAATAAATATCTGAATTCTGATTCTGACAAGATATTAGTGCATAAATAATGACCTACTCTCCAAAAAGAGCAATAAGA